TCATATTGGAAGAATCTTATAATCATATGTAATATTAAGAATTACCGTAAATTATTTCACAATAGAATAATTTACTTCAAATTAGAGTACTGATCAGTAGTACATGCATTATTAATTCATGAAATACTGGTAATTCTTTTTCATTTAATTTATTTCTATCATAACTTTAAAGCTTGCCACTTAGGTGTATTTGTGTGTGTGTTGTGTCGATGACTGTTATTTACATTAATTTTAATTTCGGTTCTTTCTTTATCAACTTATCATATTTAATGATCATACGAATTTAAGTCGTTATTTCACCTGTGTAATATTGACATTAATAGTTGTTTAGTAAACGCTGAAAGTAATTAAATCTTTCTCCCAAAGGCCACTTGACAAGCAGTAGTACTCGTAGTAGTAGTCACCGTTTGCTTTTCGTTAAATTTCTTTCCTCTAGAAAAGATGGATTGTGGTTAGCGGTCATATACAAATATAATTCACTTGAAGGAGATTATATCCATGAAAACGTCCAACAACTCGTCATACTAACCATCATTTTTACTCATTTTAATACTAATTTGATAGAAAGCATGGTGATGTTGATAATAGAATTAAACTAGTTGAGAATAAATAAATGTAGTATATAATGAAGTTGGAAATGTTGTGTGTAGTTACGGTAGACCTGTCGATTATCGTTTGCTTCTTTTATTATTATTGTTGTGATTATTTTTTGTCTAGTATTTGTTTTCTTTCATCTACATTTTTTGTTTTGCATATTGTGGTTTCATCACATCCCTTTACTGTCTTGTTTCTTTTTTTGGACTGAGGCCTAGTATGATTTGTCTTCGATTACTCAGTTTTTCATTTACACTATACTCTATCTGGTGCATGTACATGCACACTGGTATAAAGTTGTTTACATTTTTTTCGGTAGACCTGAAGTTGTTCTACGTTAGGTGGTCGGAGGATCTATACTTCATAGTAGTTGGTACTCGTCAGCAGGATCTGCTTGTAATATCGAGGGAATTGTTGTTTTGAGCCTGTAGGATTCGAAACTGCACCACCTAGTCCGACAGTCTTAAACGTTATCATATTGAACTATTCAGGCTGCGACTGACCACATATCGGACTGAGATGTATTTACAAATGATTGATCTCTGAGTATTGAAAAACGTAGTGCTCACTTTATCTTTTAAGGACTAATCGGATTCCTGTGGATTACCTTCAACTATCTAACATCTCGACACAGTACATTTTATGTCGATGCAATTAGATTAGTGACCTGAACATTGCATCCTGACTGATTGAAACGACTAGATAAACATGACATTAGTCACCCACTACTTCACTGTAACCAATTAATTGCTGTTCTCATATGCTTAACGTATTTGATAAATTTTAATATATTGACTGAGTACTTTAATTGTACTGTTAAATAATGATAAGTTTAAATTTGCAAAAATTGAATTAACCTTCTTGATGAGTATGAAATTATACATCTTGTTGTGCTAGGTTTCTAGGAGTTTTATTTTTCGACTGATTTCGCTATGTAAATTGATACACTGGAACAGAACTTAATACTTACTGTTTTTGTTAAGATAAATCTCGTCGAATAAGATTTGCCAGAGATTTTTGGAGGTAAATTTCTTACTAAACGCAACATATGATGAATTCGTCGACAAATTATTTTTTTAGAATAAAGATTATGCCGTCTCGTCAATTACATTTTATGTAAACTGTTTAATAAGTGATATTTTAAATTATTATTATTATTTAATACTTAAGTATTACATAACGTAATAGCATGATAGTTAACGTCATGAATGTGAATTAGTCATACATTATGTGAAATAACATTATTTGACTGTCCCACTTCATTGCTAATTGACTGAATTTAGAAATGTGTTCATTTTGGCCTTGGATTTGCTGCTAGTTGTGATACAGCGAAACCTCTAGGTTCCACACTTTGTTTGATCATGAGTATGCACTTGTTGAGAGTAGTCTCAAACAATCTCTTCAATGCTCTCTGATGCTCATTGATTGCAATCGATGACGAGAACTGTTATTAAATGAAAGTAATCTACACCAATAATTAAATAAAGCCTAATTTTCATGCGAATATTTCAGTGGTTGAAGTGTTTGATTCTCAGTAGCTGAGTCCCAAATTCCAGACTTTATTTATTGTCATGTTCCATAAAGGAGGTATTAACTTTTTTGCATTATTTTAATTTGCATATACCTTATTCTGCTTATTTTCAGGTATTATCTGATCCTTCATATTTTTACGTATATTTTATTTATTCTACCAGCCTTTTGTATTTATTTATTCGTACCATTTCCAAAATGTGACAATTTAAATAAATCCAATTATTTTTTGACAATTGAAAATTTTTCACTTCATGAAATGCAGCTGTACAATTGAACTTTCTAAACGAAATTTTGTAGATATAAAGCTTAAGACTGATAAGTACTATACGGCCAAACTAAAAATGTATCAGTCCATAGAGTTATTAGTCTTAGCTATTTTGTTGAGTAAAATGCAGCATACCTGCGTGATAACTCCATCAATTAGGAATTTTGTGTGGCATTGCTTATTGCAACTATATTTTCAATGTGTAGTCGCTCTCAGCATCATTGATATTATAATTATGCCGATCTCTTTTGTTAACTTCATCTCATCGCAGTAGTTTATGTTATTATAGAAGTAGTGATGGTCATATTCTACATTAACTATGTATAACCACTGATTGATCTGTATGTTACTTATACTAGGATAATAGTACGTTTGTAGCGTATAAATATTTATTATTCTTTATGAATACTTCATGATGAGATTTATTACTGACCTAAAGAACAATTTCAAATAGCGGGTCATCCAAAGGGGGCAATAGTTGAGTTGAATAGCAGCAAATGGTCGTCATCATCTCCAATCGTTATATATATATATATATATATATATATATATATATATATATATATATATATATATATATATATATATATATATATATATATATATGACACGAAGTCGATTTTGTAATAAAATACCATTGTGCCATCATCATTACCAATGTTTCCATGTCATTTTATAGTTGTTACTATTCACATTCGTATTAATAAATAATCTATTTATACAAACATGACCATGTTAACCTTATATTCACTAATAAATATCTGTTTGTGTGATTTTTAACATCGTGATTTTATTATGAGTGAGATATCAATTCCAACATCACCAGTACTCTAATTTACATGTTTACACTTATAACCTTTTATTTACATGTTATATATATATTACAAATTTATTCAAATCTGAACATTGAAACCATTGGGTCCCTGGTCAGTGATCTAAAAGTTAAGCGCATATATTCATTTCATTCTTTTCTGTCTATTCCTCCGAGTTCTTCACCTAACTACTCCATATTGTTTCATTCATTTCTACTAACACCTTTTTTCGATAATCACGGAATTTTTTTTCTTTATCACTCTATTGTTCTTATCCGTGTTATCAGTATCATTTCAATCCTATATGCGGAGTTTCATCGTTAGGATAAAGAATTTTTCTCTTTTCTTAACAATCGTCCTTTTCCTGTAGTTTTTTCCCCTCTATTATTCAAATGTAATTAAACAATGAAGTAGGTGATTTTTAAAGGAATAATTTTAAATATTTCCAGTGTATTGAAAACAACTTAACGAATTACTAGAGATAAAATCCATTTGATTGGAGTCAGTTTACTACAACATTTAATCATTTATTGCATTGTAGATAGTGCAAATTGTTTCATTCAGTCCATCTGACATTCCAGTCCATATCAACAATCAATCGCGATGATATTTTGTAATATTGTATTTTCTTTTTATTAACTAATACGCCATTTCAGATTGCATATTTCACTGTATGTGGAACTTATCAGTTGATTCTACTTTTGCATTTCAATTTCTATAAGCATACTCGTATTTACGACTCATTACACTCATCATTGAACATTAGATCTTTATTCACTTAGTAAATAATTACTATAGATACTCAATAGCCACTAACTTGTTTAATGAGTATTTTTTTCATAGGGATGTATAATTCCCTATTGTTAATATCCTATTGTAAATCACTGTCATAATAAATACAATGAATTTATAGCTTCTGACATCATTTTAAGATAATTATTGATAGAGCATTTATAGACATATATACACCTAAATTCAAATGCAGGTGAAGACAGCCAGTGTAGCAGCAGTAGGGCTCAACATACACAAGGGAGAAAACAAGATTCTCAAATAAAACACGAGAAACACCAAACCAATCACACTTGATGAGGAAGCTCTGTAACAAGTGGAATCTTTCACGTATCTGGACAGCATCATTGATTAACAAGGAGAATCTTATGCAAACGTAAAGGAGAGGATTAGCAATGCAGAAACAGCATTCCTGAAGTTTAAGGACATATGGAACTCAAAACAACAGTCAACCAGTATTAAAGTGAGGATTTTCAATACGAACGTCAAGACAATCCTGCTGTACGGAGATGAAAGTTGGAGAACTACCACAACCATCATCAAAAATGTACAAGTATTTCTAAACAATTGTCTACGTAAGATACTCAATATCCGTTGTCCATATACTATCAGCAACAGCCTACTGTGAGAGAAAAGAAATCAGCTTACAGCTGGAGAGAAAATCGGGAAAAGACGCTGGATGTAGATAGGATATACATTACGGAAATCATCAAACTACATCACAACTTTGAATCCCGAAGGTAAAAGGAGGAATAGAAGACCAAGGAGCACTTTGAGTTGGGATTTGAAAGCAGATATAGAAAAAATGAACAGCAACTGGAAAGGATCACTCAGGACAGAGTTCGATGGAAAATGTTGGTAAGCGACCTATGCTCCTCTAAAAATGGTAACAGGTGTAAGTGAATTGATTCATCTAAATTATTAACAAAACAGAAGTCAATTACTAAAGGTGTAAAATAATAATTTTTGCATACATTGCATAATATTTGCTATTATTTGTTCTTTAGTCGATTGAAAGAAGTGAACCGCAAATTGAAACAGAAACATTTCATGATGAAAATGGTAAAATGATCAAGCGTACTGTTAAACGTTCTGAAGTGACTACTACAAAAACTGTTAGTGAACGTATTATTGCAAGTACTGCAGGTCAAATTGTTCATGTAAGTTCTTATTTGTCTTTTGATTTTTTTAACTGTGTGAATAAACATAGTAATCGTGTGAAGAACTTAATGAACAGTTTGTGAGTGACAATTTTTATTCTCGTTTTTTTAATCATGCAAAAGCTTTTTATATTAATCACAATGTACGCGATATCCATTGTTATTTGTTAGAGGATTTATGTTTTAGTAGTCTGTTGATCTGACTTCCAATTTGTTCGAGTGGTGATAACGAAATATCCCAGCTACTCTCGTATCCAACTATCGACTTATTTTGAGTTAGTAGATAACGGAATAAAAAAGTGAAGCCCTGTCGTACATACATTGAGAGAAACGAAGCAGAGAAGGACACCGTAGAAGGCAAATGAACCAACTCCTTCCGACCAAGCGTGACTCAATATTTATACTAATTTTAATAGTTCAGATCATGAGTCAATTGAAGCTAGACCACCATAGAAAACCTGGAAGCACTGGACGGCCGTTTCATCCTGTTGTGGGACTCCTCAGCAGTGACTCATGATCTCAATTATTAAGATTACTATAATATCCACAAAAGACTTCTTCTGATATCAATAATTGTAGCCAGACAAAAATAATCTTAAGACGTGCCAGATAGGATTAGCGATACATATACATACGTTCATATTAAAACAGTCATGGTTATGAGCGAATAATTGACTAGGTCAAAATATTGCTCAGGGAGGATAAATATGTCTGTCTGTCTGGAAGCTAGAAGAATTCATGTGGACTTGATATAGTACTAGACAGTACTATGTTTTCCTATGGCTCATATTATTGTATACAATGAATTTGCGACTAAAGCCAATCTTGAAACACTTGTTGTTGGGACTTCCTATATACATATATACACTTAAACCATTTCCATTTGGTTACTAAGGTGATTGCGCAACAAACCTCCATTCTAATTATAGGTAATGCATGGAACTAGTCGAAATTAGTTATTAGTGTTACATTAATGAGCGTTAAAATGGTCTGGTGGGTCAATTAGTCTAAGGTCAACCGTTTAACCACACATTTGAATAATTTGCCAAAATTTATGCATAATATTAACAATAACAACACGATCTTGGCAAATAAGTAGAAAATATCTCTCACCATGTAAACTTTAATTACTGGTGTTTTAGAATAACAAATTTCCTATAAGTAAAATACCAAGATTAATAATATACAGTTCCCATCGAATTTCGAAGTATATTAATCAATGTTTAATTTGCATGTTTTTATTTTACACTCTGAATAATGATAATAATAACTATGGTGACTATTTACACTGGTCGGATTACTGCTGGTTATTAATCCAGTTCTTTAGTGAACAATAAAACTGTCAAAATTAAACCACTCAGTATGGAATATTCTTTGAAATTTGATGGGATAGTTTTTGATAGAAATTAGGCACCAAGTTTATGGAGGATATTATTTACACAGAATTATGTTTCGAATAATCTGAGCGATTTCTATTCATATAATTCTAACTCCTTCGAGCTTCTTCTACAACGGAAACAATCAGTAAAATAATAGTAGAAATTTTATGGTTTATATCACAAACAGATCCTACCCACCCTTTAGATCTTAATTTTCTTAATTCCTCATATTCTTTTTACTTCGTCGACTTATATTTTCGATCCCTAATTTTTTCTGTTATCACTAGTTCTGTTACTACCTCTATCACTGGGAATTTCTTTTTGTTGTGCTAATGAAGTATAGCAACCTGAACCGATGTACACACATACAAAATTGTACGTTGTGTTCGACTGATTGATATAGCTAAAAACACTGTTGATCATTGTTCAATATTTTAACGATTACAAGTGTTCAGTAGTCATAGTTGTCAAAACTTGCTTAAACTATTTAGAAACAAGAAATGTTTGAGCGAACAGTTGTTTTGTCATAAATTCACCAACATCTGTGAGAGGCTCTACAATTTTCAATATATAATTATTGTTATTCAAATGGAGAATGCTGGTGAGTGGCCTATGCTCCTTCACGAGGAGTAACAGGCGTAAGTAAGTAAGTAAGTATTCAAATGGTCTAAATCCAAATGCAGGTGAAGACAGCCAGTGTAGCAGCAGTAGGGCTCAACATACACAAGGGAGAAAACAAGATTCTCAAATAAAACACGAGAAACACCAAACCAATCACACTTGATGAGGAAGCTCTGTAACAAGTGGAATCTTTCACGTATCTGGACAGTATCATTGATGAACAAGGAGAATCTGATAGTAGTAGTCTAGTTGAATATGTCTGTTTTGAGATAGAGCAATTTGTTTCTGTCGAATCGATCCTGTTAGTTTCAACAAAGTTAGGGTGGCTCGATCTTACCCCGTTCTCTAGATTATTTCAAATCGATTGTATAACAGTGTTGTAAAATTTCACAACAATCTATTCCATGTGATTGAGGTGTATAAAAGAAATAAATTGATAGTTGAACAGCTGATTACACGAGTGTAATTTTCTCTATAAACATGTAATTATTACCGGATTTCCTTCTGGTTAATTAATAAAAACAAGTAATAGGTAGTTGTAGATAATGCTAGGTGAGATTCTGAATAAATTTCAAACTACCAATTTAATTATAAATGCATTCAGATCTGAGTGTATTTATAAATTCTGTGGATTTGGTTTAGAAAATAAAATTAGTTTCCAAGGTTCTATGTTTCTAGCGAGATGAGCGAATGTTTTGCGTAGTTTTTAACTGGAATATTCATATTTTCAACTCTTTCGGTATATTATACTTTAGTTGTGATCGGTTGTCTTAACATATAAGTTGTGTAGGTTTTGGATATTATTAGCTGGCAATATGATCGAAGAAGCGCATTTCCCTTCTTTGATTTAATTACTGTGTTCAAATTTTATTCCAAACCTACGAATACTGAAATAGAGTTATGCCTCCAGCTGACAAGTCCCAAAAAGAATAGAATACTCATCTTGACATTCATTGCTAATCAATACACCCAAACATGGGTTTTTTTAATGTTTTTCAGTGCAAATATTTCATGGGTTAGAAATGTAAATCGCTGCTCGTTCTAGTTCATATTTGGTACTCGTCAACTAGGTCTACCTCCTTTTCACTGTTGATGTTCAAAATAGGACTCAAATTCCCTACATTTCACTTTTAACACCGTTATTCACTTAAATTTTCGGTCCAGATAGACGCTAACTTGTATAACGCTTATAGTATTCCTATCATTATTGGTAAGGTTTTGAACTATTTCATTACAGACATTTAAGAATAAATTTTGTTCTCTCTTTGTTGACATATGTACATTCCATACGAAATACCCCGATATTACTATTTTATTACAAGATTTTTCTAACAGAATAGATGAATTGTGACTAGCAGTGGAATTGAGAACACACACTTCGTGCCATTTATGACTCATTCCTTGAATGATACCTACATACTATTCTTGGTACATATTAGGCCTCGAAGGGAATCCAAACAGAATACACATATACACCAACAAAGACTGTCCAAACTTTAGTCTTGAATATCAACGACAGGGTAATTACAAGCTCTTCCCGACAATCGTAATACTTTATAGTTTAAGAATTGTGTTATTACTATCCAGAGTTTCTTTACCTCATTACATATATAATTTTATTTCCATGTTGTAATTACTTTTTTTCTATTAACTGTTCTGTTTTATCCTTAACAGACTAATGGACATTCTATATCTAGTAATGATTTTGATGAAGTGAGTTGTTAATTTAAATATAAAAAATCGGAAAGAAAAATCTTAACTGGTTTTCTCTCTGTTTATTTTTATTTCCATAAAACAGTATTAACAACACAGTGCGTATGTGTGTATATACTTTGTCACTGTAATATAAATTTCATTTCTTTTAATTTAAACAATCATTCGGTGAGATATCTGTATTTAACAAACTCTTGAATTAAAAAAAGTATGTTACATAGTTTCAAGGTTTTGCAAATATTTACATGGTCAAATAATGTCGGTTATCCAACACCTGACTGCACCTTCTCCGGCAAATATCTATTTTCATGTAATCAAATAAGCAGTAGGTGCATGCGTTGTGTTTTATCTTTTTTGTATATTCTCATATCGTAATGGTAAACAATAGATTGATACACACATACTGATGTATATCAACTACTATTTATTTTTATATGGTTTACATCACGGACTTGATATTAGCTAGACAGCCATTGAAAACCACGAAGCATGGAATAATTGTTTTGTCTTAGCTGTGTGAATCTACAACCCCATCGGGGGTCAAATCCACGACTTATAGGTTTCGCTGCGAGCACTGAGCCGACATTCAATGGTGTGTATGCCTAAATTCAATAAATTCACGGTACTGCGCAGTCATCTCCCATTGCCTAAGGTAGATAACTGTCTCGAACGGTGTGGTTGAATTCCACTTTTGATCACAGCTTCTCATTAGAAATATCCAGAAACTGCATCTTGAAGTCAGTCACTAGTGAAGATATGTTTGTGAAAGACAGTCGATGACGGGAACGATGTACATTTTACAGGCTCCACAAATTCCTGCCCCTCTTTTTCTACTATTTATTCATTCTACGTACTCGTGATCTTCACCAGTTAACCGTGTTTCTATGTTAAATATATTTACATATATATCGGTGTGTACATATATATGTGTGTATGTTTTTATTGCTGAGTAATTTATTACTATATTACATCATGATAATGCATTGATGTATTTATACTACTAGATTATCCTTTGTCTATTGGGTTATGCAAAAAATATAAATAAATAAACGGAAACTTAATTCCTCAGCTAGTAGTAAATTTGTCAATTTTCTCGCTATCGCTTGTATGTGTTATGTGTATTCTCTTATCTTGTCACTGCATTCTTTGACCATTATAAAATACTTCTGGATAATATAGAAGTGTAGGTTAGGTGGAGAAAGCTACGAGAGATGGTCAACACCAAACATTATATCATTTCTTCAGGTCATTGACTGTTATTGATGTGAACAGTGTAGAAACTTTGTGTAATGACTTTTGTTGGTTTGGTCTCGCATATTGTTTGTAATCTACTAACTGAAATTATCTGGTGATATGGACACAATCGTTTAATTTCTTTATTTTATTTATTTAAAACATAATTACTTATGAAGATAAGCACCAAAATAAATATGCTTCACATTAATAATCAAATGATATTGTGATGAGATAGAGAAAGAGGAGAGGGAGTATAATCTTGAACAAATAAATGAATAAAAATAGGTAGATGTGAGTGTTATATAATAAGAGAAACAAATTAGTTCAGGGAGTTCCCCTTTTATGAATAATATCAAAGAAAATTACAACAGACTATCACTAACTTCTGTCTTGAATCATATCTGATATTAATCAGGGATTAGAGATAAACCAACGGATACCAGCCTTATACAGTTTTCGTTCATACTTTGGCACTATTTCATAAGCTGACCATCTCTGCCTTTTCTAAACAGTCCCAGCGTCAGAAATTAAAGAATTATCGGCGAATTGCTGAAATGACATTTTTAACACATATATGAGCACCAGCATTATTAACAAAGTGGCCCCCTAAATGTTAGCAATTCTTCAGTGACATAGATAATTGATCGCCATAGTCATCGAATATAGTGTAATCATGGGAAATATAAAGCAACCAAATCAGAATGTCTTATCAGTCCAATAAGTTCAGTATTCGAATACTTCATGTAACGCGGCTCAGAATCGATCACGATGAAACAAGCATTTAATCTTGATCTTTCTCCACGTCTTCAATTCCAATGTTTTTTAAATACACATCTTTTCATTCTGTCTTTTCGAACCATAACCTCAATGTCTGATGTTTCTCATTACCATTGTTGCTATAACCGAAGCTTGTCATCATCCATGCAAAATTATTAGGTCCGTGGACACCCCCTAGAGGATTTACATTTCATTGATCCAATTGATATTTATGTCTCAAGTTAATACAATGATACATGTTTGAATTGTATTCCTGTCGATTAAGTTCCAGTCTTTTCCCTCTCAATCGTTTTCTTTTTTAAAACCAGCTCGTTTGTCCAATGTTCTTTCATTAAGCCGGTTGTTTTCTGTTCTTGTCTACTTCCATAGGATTTAAATATGGCGTTGTTAACCGTCACTAAATTGGATCCAGATATTTCAGTATTAAATAATCCTGTTGGACAAGTGGAGATTAGAACCAAATCAGAAAGTGTTCTTTAAAAACGTAGAGATAGTAGTATTCAATAACTGCTTTTCGTTTATATATATGATACAACTAACTACTCACATTTATTCATTCTTCGATCAATCAATTCATTCATTGATTCATCTAATTATTCAGTGACAATTCTATTCCTAACTGTCTCTTTATCCCATTCACTATCTAACTCAACCTCGCCTCAATTAAATTATATTATTGTTGTTCATTACGTAATTGGGTTTTTGTTTTTCCTCAGTTGATAAGATTATTTTTCAGTTTACTACTGCTACAACTATATTTCTTATCGGCTTTTCCGTTTACATATGCCTTATTTGGTAATACTTTATTTTTTATATATTCTTGGTTATTTTTTTTAGAGTGTCGGTGTTTCTGTTGTATTCATATATCTTCATGATTGTTGTCATTATCACACCATGAGAAAGTATTAGAAGTATATTATAAATGCTTGTATGTACGTGTGTGTGTGCTTGTTAGTAAAAAGTGTGACACCGCATAGCTTATGTACTAACAAGCATACATAAGTATTGACAAGGATTTACGTATTAAATACACAATGAAATAATACTTCCTCCTGTTGTGTTAGGGATACTAATGGTGATAGTAGTAACAATCATGAAGATATATGAATACAACAGAAACACCGACACTCTAAAAAAAAATAACCAAGAATATATAAAAAATAAAGTATTACCAAATAAGGCATATGTAAACGGAAAAGCCGATAAGAAATATAGTTGTAGCAGTAGTAAACTGAAAAATAATCTTATCAACTGAGGAAAAACAAAAACCCAATTACGTAATGAACAACAATAATATAATTTAATTGAGGCGAGGTTGAGTTAGATAGTGAATGGGATAAAGAGACAGTTAGGAATAGAATTGTCACTGAATAATTAGATGAATCAATGAATGAATTGATTGATCGAAGAATGAATAAATGTGAGTAGTTAGTTGTATCATATATATATGGATTGCGTAACTATATACATTCAGACCATGACAATCATATTCTATTCGCTCCTTTTTTATGTACGTGTACATGCAAGCAGTGATTTTTCTAGTCATTACAATGTTATGTTAAACTAATAATCCGTTTTATGTGGTTGTTGTTGTCGTTCATATTATGATCTTTTACATGCTCTTCTGAATTAGCACTGCTGTCGTCTTCTTGACTTACTACACCTTGCCTACTGCCTACTCATTTCACATCACTATTCATCATTGTTGAATAAAGTCATTAATAATAATAATCACCTCTTATATATATATATACCATTTACAGTACGACAAGAATAAATAATGTTTTCGATAATCCTCTTCCATTTTCTGCACTACAATTTGAAGATTGGCATTTAATGTTTCTTGTCGTCGAAATAATAAGGATAATATTGTTGTTTTGCACAGTGAATAAACCGATTATCCTATCTCCTTGTTTATTTGTCTGTGGGTGTGTGTTAGTATGTTTCGTAATTGGATTCGCACTGCTAGCTCCCCTATCATATTGTAACACCTGTTGATGACATATGGCTTTATGATGGTGATGATGATTACTTCGTGTATCGTTTTGCTCTTTTTTGTGTATCCAAATACGTTCTGTATTGTTCAGACGTATTGCCTTTTTTTAATAGAAAAGCAAACAATAATATTTTATGCGGTGAGGAATTCGGATCTCAGTCAAAGGCAGTGTCGAGTCTAATATATCAGTGTTAGTCGTAGTAAAATTATCGCTGATAGTAGGAAACATAATATTATTCGTGAATTAAGGATACGCTATTAGGATAAAATAGTATAGAATTATTTAAAGGAAAGACCAAGACTAGATACATCTCTATCATTGCAATCTATGATAAGGGATCTTACCTGACGTTTCAAACCGTTAATCATAATAATCTCACGGACCCCAATCAGGTAATCTGTGCCTATCAGTATAGCTCAGTTCAACAGTTGATAACTTCATAGTCTAATGTCAAGCTTTGGTATGGTTGCTCCTAGCTTTCTTTCAACCTAAACTAGTCAACTTCGTGAATCAAGGTAATCAGTGGTTGGGATATTTAATTGTGTGCCAACCAATTTAATAGATGAAGATTGATAATCTTGTAAACCAATTTGCCAACCTCAGCATTCTTTACTCAACGGTCACAACATTAGTAAGTAATGCTTCAGAAGTATCTATGCGAATAGTCGTAACGTACAAACATACTTTATTTTTAGTTTGAAATTGAACAAACATAGCAAACGAGTTTCTTACTTGAAATTCTAATCATTCCTTATATATAAGATTTTAATCGAATTCATTTACAACTTGAAATTTAGGTTGTAAGGAATTTGGTGTTTCATTTACAGAATTTGTGGCAACTGGATGTTTTCCCGTTTACTGCACAATGCGCTTTTTTCCTCCGATTCTCATTATTTAAGATATCTGTGATAAACCTCTTGGATCCAGTTCTTTAGCTGTTTTGTTTCATATTTTGCTAGGAATGCGTGCACAGACGAATTTCCCAAATTTAGTTCATTACCGACCAATCGAACAGTCGGATAGGCTACCACGTTTTTATAATCAACATAAGTCAGAGGTTCTTCTGATTTTGTATCAATCATCCTCGTCGAAAATAAAACGTCCTCTGAATTCTCTTTATTTTTATTCAGTGACACAATGGGTTATTTTAATTATCTGAAGAGTTTTAAGCATCCTGTGACAGTAAAGGAACTCAATAGGTTTCTTCGTTTTTCTGTCAAGCTTGTTATGACGAATGCCAGAACCATTTTCTTAAAGTTGTACAGGCAGATGTGAGTATCCGATACCATTTTTGAAAACATTACACCGAAACCACATCCATCCAAATCATCGTTCTTTGAAACGTCTCACTTTGAATTATATTGATGAAACGAAGTCAAGAATAGCGGGAATTGAACGAAATATTTCATTAAGAACGCATACATTATATGGTTTGTCAGATGAACGTTTCAAATTTAAAGATTACGTTGATACGGTTGCTAGAAATCGTACAAAAGACATGAACTTGAAATTAATGAAAGTTTAAAGTCGATAAAAATACCAGAAAAGCATGTATTCAGTTACTCTAGCGTAAAGTTATCGACTATTCAGCTACAAGCATTACCTCGTGTTTGTCAATTTTGTAGTACATCAACTAACATTAATGAACTCAACGCTAAAATCCTGTTTGAAAGCCTCATTCGTCAGACAAGTGCCCTTATTCTAGTATCTAATGAAGATTATGAGCTATTCAAAACAACTCTTGTAGACTGTTGTAATCAATAAGTAAACACAATACCTACAACTCAACGATTACTCACAAAAGAACATAAGTCTCAATTATTTGATCTAAGGAATCAGGACTTAGTGTTGTGTCGCCCAGATAAGGATTCAGGAATTGTCTTTATTGATCGCCATGACTATGTCACCAAACTATCTTCGATATTATCTGGTCCTGTCAAATTCTCTAAAGAAGCCATCCAGAAAGATGTAACTGAGAAAACGGAGCAGATATTAACTAAAATCCCAAGGAAGATGAGTTTATTATCAATAATGATCTATGTGATCATCACCAGGTTCCGCTGTACTGAGATTATGCGGGCTCCCAAAAGTTCATAAGAAGGATGTCAATCTTTGTCCTATACTTTATATGAATAACTCTCCATATCATTTGATTACTAAATGGTTAGCTAAAATATTAAAACCCGTCAGAAATAACGTCAATAGATACAACTCTCTTGATTCCTTTGGTTTTGTCAACTCAATTCGAAACCCATAAATGGTAGGAAAATGATCTCATTGGATGTCGCTTCTCTCTTTACAAATGTTCCACCTACAGAAACTGTATGTTTTTACGTAACTATATTGAAAATAACAACCTTGACATTTGTATCCCAAAACATTATCTAAAAGAGCTACTTCTACTATGTACACTCAAGCTGCAATTCAGATTTAATAATTGATTTCCATGGACAAGCTGATGAAGTTGCAATGGGTCCACTCTTGGCTGGTTGTTTCATGGAGGATCTGGAAAATACGGTACTTCAACCAATAATTGAGAGATTTCAGTTATATCAAAGATATAAGGATGATACTTTAATTATTTGTGAAGACATGAACCTCAATGAGATTTTGAATCGATTCAACAGTTGTCATCACTAAATTCAATTCACATCGTAAGCAAAGGCAAGCGAGAAGTTTCACTTTTTATGTCCGGTTGGAAAGAAGGTCAGATGGTTCTTTACAGAGATCTATATATAGAAAACCGGATTGAAATGGTCAGTATAACTAGGTCCCTTTGAATAGGAAGAAAAAATCGATCCACTCTTTATCCTTTAGTATTAGGTGGATGTGTTCTAATGACACGATAGATGACAAACCACTTCAACTTTGACAGATAGTCATCAGAAATGGTTATTGCTATGTTTGGAACGATTACGAGTTCATCTAGTCTGAGAATGAACCAAAGACCAATAAGCTAGCTATTCTGACGCGTCCCAGCCCCGCTAACTAGAGAGAGAAGTCCAAGTTTGAATATTTGAGCAGCATTCTAAATAGTAGAAGTTCAAGTAAGTTGTTACGTGTTAGTAGTACGGAAAAATGAGATAACACACTGCGTTGGGAATTGGAAGCAGACTTAAAAGGGATCAACAACAAGCGCAAAGAACTGGAAACGATAGCCGAGGACAGAGTTGGATGAAGAATGCTGGTGAGCAGCCTATGCTCCTACTCGAGTAGTATTAACAGATCTAAATAAGTGTGTGTGTTACTTCCGTATTTCGTGTAGTTGATTTCACTTGATCTACTTACTTTAATTTAATTATACCAGTTCGAGATTCGTGACACTTATAAATATAATTTACTTAGTTTCTAAATAAAAGATTTTGATAAACGTAATGTAAATGTATTTGTCTTTACACGATAATGAAGTCATCTAGGTCCATCACAATAAATCATTGAAAAGTGGATTTTTTTTACAATAAACTAGGAGAACGTATATACTTATCTAAACTGAATGATGTATGTGGGCAGGACTTGTCTGACTTATAAGTAGTACTCGTCTCTGAATAATCTCAGTAAGGGTACCATTTGGAATCACAAAGCACTGAACAGCTGTTTAACCCTAGTACATGGTTCCTCAATAGTCTACATTCACTACAGCAATATGAATCAGGCCTTGAGCCTTCAGTTTATATTTGGATATATGTACTACTGAACATCAACTCAATCGTATTTCATTATAAGCGCCCGTCACAAGTCCCGGGTTCAATCCCTGGTAGAGTCATATTTGCACCCTGCTGAAAAGTCCGGTTTTCACTGGTTCCCAATAATACCCTGACACATATCGATCGAAGACGAATATCACCCGCAGATTAAAATAATTGCAAAATCACTTCATTTAAACTTGTTTTATATGCATTTATGTATTAAACAGACAAGGATGAAACTAAATAGAGGTCAGACTGAAGGTTAACATGTAAATGAGAACTTAATATTGATACTGTAATATTGATAGTGCAGACAACTCTATGTTAGCATCGAATTATGAAGAGCAGTTTCGTGGTTATGACAGACAACATTTTGACATTAATAAGGTTATATAGAAGGAAGGAAGAGATTACATCATGAGGTGATCTAAGATTCCACATATCTGTTTTATCCTTCTATTGACTCATATATTTATTAAACAACTAGAAGTAAATGAGACATGAAGTCGCTAATAGAGCTTCAAAAAATCTAAGCGTGTACGAATGATATATTCATGTCAGTTCTTATAGATAAAGTAGGTGGGCATTTCTTAGGGACATTTATAAAGGGTGGTCTAACTTAGTGTTGAAACCCAATTAATATATGTTTCGAGGTCACCATTTGCACAGAACGATTAAGCACTTTTATCTATGTATGACTACACGTACATTAGATGTCCTGCATTCTGGACGGTAGTCACGCGTTTTATATCCAACAATAAGTACTGAACTCTTGAAGATTTTAATGCATGTTACTATAAACATCTATTGAAGGATTAAATTGCCAATCAAAATCTCTCCTATATAGAAGCTTAATGAACATATCCTTCTATTTAAAATGAATTGTAATCATCCCTCATTTAACAAATTGAACCCAATTACTGGTGGACATATTTTCAACGTGTTTTAAAATAATTTTGAGGGTTTGTAAGTAAATATTGATATCGAGACAATCTCATTATGCACATACACCAGTAGGGACTGACCTATCACAGTCCTTAACACTAACAACAGACAATTACATAGCCTTTCTTACCTCTCAAACTCACCGACTGCACTTGCTAATGGCTATCGGAACTCAGTAGCTTAGTGGATAATGCTTTAGCGTTCTAAGCGGAAGACATTGGATTCAAGTCTCAGAGTGAACATCGACGCTTGAATGTAGGTACATCTAATTAACAAGTTCTAAACAGAACAAAACACGTGTCTTGAATTCCACTGTCAGCCACTATCCAATTCAGCTGAAACCTAGTGTTTTAAAGTTGTTTAAACTAATTGGGCAAATAAACGTGATTACAAACGATATCTTACCAGTTTTACCTTTGCTTCGATTATGTGATTTCTATTTATCCGTTTTTCTGTAAAGCTGTACAAATTTGTTGTTAGTCCACTGTAAGTATTAGATACAGTGACCAGTTTAACTATCCAACTATATTGTTTTCCAATCGAAACAACACAGTAACCAACAATAACTCTCGAAATAATTAATATCAAACTCCCTTAAATTCTATCCTTATTGTTTTTAATCTATTTCAAGCAGCTTTAGGATATTTATTTTCATACCATTTCAAGTTCAGGCTGTTATAAAGAGAAATATTTGGAACTCAATAGCGAATTGTATCTTCAAACAGGAAGGACCTGTGCTCCATGTAGGATGAGAAAACTTATAGTAAGCCCATTCAACTACCGTATTATTCATCTGCTCATTGTAATTTAAACACTTAATCCACTATGTAAATTTCTGTGTGAGTCTGATTGGGCACATGCCTGCACATCAACTTTAATCTATTCTCCCATTGGTTGTGATACACAGACAATCAATAATTTATCCACACTTGATTAACACTCATAAATATATATGGATTTTTAACACTCATAAACACACATACTCGTTATCTC